AAAAAAAAAAAAAAAAAAAAAAACGAAAATTATGCAACTGAATTAGATGCAGTAGACATGATATTATGAACTATTGTTTTCGTACGTTATTTACCCGTTTTTCCCATTGATTAGGAAAACAAATGACTTCAATTGCCGGTAGAAAAGTTATTAAAAAAAAAAAAAAGTAAACATTGTTGTAAAATGAATACATCCGTCGCTTCGTTCATAATCTAAAATTAAATTATGAACTTTTCAAATAGGAATCAACCATAACAGTGGCTGCACTCGTATCCATTATCCAACGGACAGCTCTTTAGTCTGTTCAATATTTCCGTATTATAGTTTTCGTTCGAGCGATATTGTCGTTCATCGGCGTACTTTCCGTACTTCTAACAAACGGTGTCGAACGCGACTACATTGTCGTGTGTACCTAATGTGTGTGTGTACGTGTGTGTGTGTGTGTGTGTGCACGCGTGTGCACGTGTATTATATCCTATAGATTCTCCCGTCGAGGATATTGTAATTCGGTGGCAATCTCCTCGTCTGCAAGTCTCCTCGAACAGAAAAAAAAAAAAAACAAATTCGAAGAAGGGAGCGAACGCGCGGAGGAGGGACAAAACTTTTCGTATTATCCCCCGCGCTCCGACGGCATTCCGAACTCGTTCGCAATATCACCGCCCGACACTGCGCGCTCGCACATACCGCGTCCGCTGCTGCGAATTCGCATTCGAGTTGTTCGCGCGTTCAATCGAACGCGGGCCGCCGCTACACACGTGTAATCAATTGGGTTTTTTTTATTATTATTATTTCTCGCGCCCGCGTTTTCACGATCGTACGCGCGCTCGCGTTACACACGGCCCGGGCCCGCCGCGGCGGCGGCGGAGAGTGATAATTGAAAAAGTTCCGGAAAACCCGGGGACCGTCGATGGCGTTATTAGAGGCGGTGGCGGGCGGGCGGGCGGACCGAAATCTCCGCGGTGCGTGCGGACGCCGTTCGGTTCTCGCGTGTGCGTCGTCGTCGTCGAGTGTGGGAGGAGTGGAAGCGTACTCCGTAATCACGGCACAGTGATTATTACCGCAGCGTACGGCGACGTCTCGGAAGAGCCGCGAAGCGAAAAACTCCGGACGGTTACGGCGGCGGCGATAACGGCATTGTTATTATTGTTGTACAGACCGTTTTGAAATGTCGCGGGACCGGTGGCCTTTTCGTCGGTGACGATGATAACACGAGCCGCGAGCCGACCGAACCTCCGTCGATAACAAAAAAAACAAAAGAAATAATAACCGACGGAAACCGATCGTGTCGCTTTGTGTATACGAGACACGTTTTCCAACCGTCCGTTTACGTTACCAAACGAATCCGTAACGTATCGAAAAACGTAATGTACAAACCGCTGTCGCGAAATCTACACGTATACGCATAGATAGGTAATATGTAAATTTTACATTGGTGTATATTTTTCGACCGGGACTTAAATGAGGTCGCATTAAGATTTTCCCAAAAATTTTCATAAAAGCAAACGTATGTAAAACGGGAAAATGCACGGATATTGTTATTTTTGAACCTTAAATAATAACGATCTGCATAATATATATATAACCGGACTCCGCTCAAAATCGTTTTTCAATAGCAATAATCAATCGTTGCTAACATAGATATTCATTTAATGTCCCCCCTACCTTCCCAACTTCTCACCTACAACAGTGGCCCGAATCCACCTTGTTCAAAACTCGTTTCATCAATATTGATACGAGGTTTTGATACGAAAATGGTCGTTATCGTTTTCGCGAATTGCAGTGTGACCGCGGGTCTAACGACGATATTTCGAAGCATGCGCTCTGCCTGGTAGGACAAACGACGATATTTGTACTACATCGTATCAAACGCAGACTTCTACACTTTTCTCCGAACGTCTTCCTTGTCTTTATCCCGAGCTCTACTCCTATCGGTCACGGTCGTTCACGCGTCGCACGTCAATTACCCGTATCGTCTACTTCGCATATTCATCACACCCGGTTTTCGGGAAATACTGCAGAAATGGAGAATATCCGTCGTCGTCGCGAGCATAATTAACGGTGTACGTACGGCCGAACCTGACCTGACCCGACCCGACCCGGGGACGGACATTGACGGGTCGCGTCGACGCCATCGCCGAAGGGGTTGGCCGAACGTCCCGACGGCGGCGGCCAAATGGGGCGGAATTATGACAAGACGCGCTTACCGTATTGTTGTTGTCTCGCGGTCGCAAACAAATTGCGACCGGGAACCCTACAGAACTGTCGTTCGCCCTCGAAAAACAACGACGTGGTGCAATATCATATAATGTATTATCATAAAGTTCCTCCGGTCAGTACGAAATAACGCGGTCGGCGACGGCCCAAAGTTTTCTCGGGACCGCGATAAAATCCGGAGATCGCGCGAACGGAGGCTAATTATTGTTCAGTAGCCTACGGAACGAGGCGCGGCCGGACGAGCGGCCTTGTAGCGAACTTTTTCACCGCCTGACCTCCTGCGGCACGACAGTACCGCGGCGGCCCTTTGCCAACGAATGCGGCGCGCGGAAACACCGGGACCCGGAGAAGGTTCGCCGGACGAATTACGCGAGCCGTAAACATTCCGCCACGACCGCCGGGGCCGGTACCGAAAAACCGTCGCGACGGTCGCCGACGAGTTTCGCCGGATTAGAATATTCGCGAACATTCGTACGCGATAAATCCCCGGGGCTCAAGCGCGCCGCCCGACTCGGCCCCGTAAATAACGTGTCCATTTAGGTCACGCGAATTCAAACTAATCACCATGCACTTATTTTTGGGTAAAAGGAAATTGCTGAAATGTCTATTTTCACGCTAAGGCAGAAATTTCTCCAGCCCCTCACCCTCTTCTAAGTTTTTTTTGAATTTGTCCAAAAACCATTTACGCGCAAATTTACATAAATTCCACGCTGATTAATACCGAAAAAAAAAAAAAAAACGTTTTAACATTAAATAACTAATATGGCCACGAACTTTGTAAGAATTTTTATTAATTTTATTAATTGTGAGTACCTATAAGTATGACGTGTTTAAGTATTATGAAAAATATTTTCTTGATTATTCTAACCCCCTCACCCGCCTTTTGCATTTATTTTGCGTGCATCGAGGTGCATTAGTAAAAATAAAAAAAAAAATTATTTTTCTAGGACACTCTAAACCTAAGATACGTGTTTTTGAAAAATATAATAATCAACTCGAAAACGAATAAATCGGAATTGTTTTTTTCTCCTGAAGAAGTCGTCTAGAATGAATCAGTGTGATTTCTCACGAATCTCCGTCCAATTATTTTGTAAATATAATTATATTGAATGTTTTTTTTTTTATTTTATTAACACGTCCGCTTCGTTTTTTTTATATTTTTGCGCTGGACTCGTTCCGCGAATTCTGCGTTTTCGAAAACATGTAAAATACTATATTTATATTTTTTTTTTTTTACGCCTTAATGTTCGTTTTTTTTTTTACTCGAATCATTTACCAGTCGGATAATTTCCTAGGACTTGTTTACGTATCGGAATTGAAATTCTGTATAACAAATTAGTTTTTATAAAACGCGTAACAATGTAGGTACTTCTGAAAATTTGTTCGTCCGGAAAAAATAGAAATATGGCGGCGTTCTATTGAATTTCGATAAACGTAATGTGTATCCGCGGAAACGGCGAAAACCGAAAAATGTCTCAAAAAATATCCCGAAAAATATATTTTTTGGTCAACCGCAGAATTTGAGTTTGACATGAAAATTGTAACGTGAAATCGACTTCCCGTAGTATAAGCTCGGATTATAAGGGGGAGGGGTTGGTTGTCAAAAAAAAAAAAAATACGCGCAAACGCTGCATAGAAACCCTATATAGCTTTATAACGATATTGTAATATTTCGAGCTCCCCGTATAAAACTTGTTAAAAAAAAATCGCCCCCACACGATAAATAAACGCGTATTGTTTTATACCTATCGCGTATGTCTACTACACGACAATATATCTCCGTCCGGCCGGGGATAATATTTCAAAAACTTTTCACTAGCGGTTTTTTTTTTCCACATAAACGCGTATACGTACGTGTGGGGCAGACGGTTTTTTTACCACGCGTGTCGACGGAAGAAAAAAACCACGGGGACCAGAGACGGATGGCGAAGAATAAAAATAAAGACGCTTGCGCGCCGTCCGGACACGTTTCCGGTTCGACTGTGAGCGCATATTATAATACACTCGAAACATCGTCCGGAATCGAATGAAATATTATGCGCACGAGTACGAGTGTTTGTTTTTTTTTTTTTTTTTAGATTAAAAAATTCGTCAAACTCGACGAACGAAATTCGCATCGCATAAATAAATCTGTTTTGAACAATATCGTTTTATACCGGGCAAAACGTGGATCATGTACTCGAAAGACTTTTTGACGTATTATACAGCTATACGAATTTTTACATAAAAAAAAATTTAAAAAAATACACGAAAGCCTCCGTAAACTAAAATACAAATTAATAATATCGTAAGGAATAATATTTCAACAACACGATATGTCGATTTCGCGTATTTACGAAAATAATCCTTTAAGTATGTTTGTTGTAATTCGGTTGAAAACATTCGTAAAGACTTGAAATTCCGATAAAAACTTACATTTGTTTTTTCTAAAATATTCAAAACATTTAGGCCATATTATCCAGCTATCTATAGACATTTTAATTTTGCGAGTTTTTCACGACGAAACGGTCAAACTAAAAGGAAATTCTTGAACATTTAACGGGAGATTCTCCGCACTACAAGTCGTATACCAAGCGGTTATAATAATAAAAAAAAAAAATTGAGTGTGGTCAATTTTTTTTTTTATAAGATTTTTAATAATAAATTTTGACGAAAAATTCCTAAAGGAAAAGGATTTTAACAATTTTATAAAAAAAAAAAAAAAAAATACGTGAACCGAGACGCGAGCGACCGAAAATTAAATCGATTCTCGTCTGGTCTGAAATAATAACGATATGTTATAATTTATTCGTAAACATGACGGGGCGTAGCCCGATTTTAACGGGCCACGGTCGAAAACAACGGAAAACCGAGAAAAACGCGCGTGCGGATATTGTAAAAACCAGTGGGAAAAAACGCCGTTCAATCGTAACGCAGTGTCGCAGCCCGTGTACGTTGTACCGGTGCCTAAAATAATGCGTCCCCCGACACGAAGTGTGTTCCCTGAATGTCGAAGCGTGTCCCCTGAATTACAAATGTGCGTACCAAATCTAATTAGCTGTTATCGTAAAAATACTTTTAAGGACGGTAACGATTCATTCCATGAGGTCGCTCTGACCGGTACGTGGTATTTAATTTTAAATTGTTTTGTGTTTAGTAGAATTGTTTAAATTTTTATTCGTGTTATTATTTATTTCGTGTTGATAATTTTCGAGTACACACATAATTAGTCATAAACAGCATAAACGTGTAGGGTGATTAGTGACAGCAGTGTAAAAAGAGCCACGCCCTGTCGCAGGTTTTTTTTTTTCGGGCTATCAAAATCTATTAACTCTATCGATTCAATTAAAAACCGTGTCCCCTGAAATATGACGTATTTCGGGCCGTGAATCGCACAACCCGTACGTATCGCGCACCGCTCGTTAAAATATCGTTTTCATAATGTCCGAACGACACGGACGGTCCGCCGGCGGCGACTGGCGGGGATGGGGGTAGGGAGTTTGTGTACGCGTACGATATTATACGTGTATATAATATTACGTACTTTATCGCGGAAATTCATTTTGCGGAAACGTTTCCGGAAACGCATCGTTGCAATTTACGATAAGTATTCCCGTGCACGTATACACACACACACATACACGAGTATATATTATATCGTAACGGGCGGCTGTCGGATTCCGCAAGAAATATTACGACAACAATGTCTCGGGGAAAAACGAGCCCGGAGGAGAGCCGGCCGTATATATGTGGAATAATAATGAACGAACGAATGAATGAAAAAAAAAAAAAAAACCGCTATTTTTTTTTATTATTATTATTTGAATTTCGAAACGAGATTTCCCGCGACGATTTATTTTTCCTCGCGTTATTATACTCGACGGTCGTGTCCGGGAACTCCGGAAAAACGGACCCCGAGCCCGTCGGACGAGCATACGCGTAACGCGGGCGTATTACGCGCACCTGACGCGACGCACGCGATAGGATGGAAACCCGACGGGAAAACGTCGCGGCGGCGTACAAACGGCGTGAGCGGAACCGATTTCGCCGCGCGGACTCCCCCCCCCCCCCCCCGGCGGGTTTTCGTTTATTGAGCCCCGCGGCGTCGCTTGTTATCGCGCGCCGGCTCTTACGAGCCCCCCGCGGGCCGCGCGCATATACACGCATGCATTGCGCGGCTGTACGGCGTCTTTCGGTGCGCGTCTATTTTCTCTTCTGTTATTTTTCCTCCTCCTCCCTCCCGCTCACACTCGCTTTCTCACTCTCACTCTCTCTCGTTTCGCCCCGAACGACGTCTTAACACGCGGTGCGTGCGCGCGAAACGGCCGACGGGACGACAATCGCGCGTAACACCGTGGGATAACTACCCGCGGTGCGCGCGTACGACAATAACGCGACGACCCACCGCCCCCCCCCCCCCTCCGGGGCGGCCGATTTGATGGCTCGGATCGGGCGATAGGACATCTCCGCGCGCGCGGAACGGTTTTCTCGTTTATTTCGCTGCCATTACCGCGCGCTTGTATTATTACCGCCGGGGTCACGTTGTCCCGAACGTGTATATATAAACCCCAAAACCGAGAACGTACGATTGTTATTATTGCGGGGATTTTTTTTTTTCTTTTTAATAAAATCGCTTACAAATCGCGTCGTTACGCTGATTGCCTTTTCCGAGTGTCGCGCTCCGAACGGGCCATGTGCTCGCGTATATTATTATAGTTTTGCCGACGGACGCGGTTACTGTTCCAACAAATTCTCGAGATTTCCTACAGTCTTGCTTTAGAAAACAAAAAAAATACACACGGCAATAACGCCGACACTTCGGTTTCATTTCTGTCGATTTCTCGGTTACCCGTCGGTCTACAAAGATTGGGAGTGGGAGGGGGGGGGTACACGACTAATATATTGTGTACTTTCCCCAGTAATTTTCTTAACAAACGGGGAAAAAAATGGGAAAAATCGAGAAAAATGAGAAATTACAATATTAAACAAATATTATTAAATAAAATACTATGTAATTATTTTACCATAATTTGACATATATATTGTTAAAAAATCGCAACACTACAAATCGAACTCCGTTCGGAATCGTTTTTGATTAACGGTTAATCTTTGCGTACAGATAAACATTAAATTTCCCCTCCACCTTGTCAACTTTTCACCTACAACGGCGGGCCGCCCAAGTTCGAAAAATATCTGGCTTTTTTTTTACCATAGTTGCGAGGTAAAAATGAAAAATGTAATAATTCTAATAACAATCATTTTTAATCATATTTACTACAGTTTTATTTGCCACGTGCACTCACAGAATTTTAATATATTGGATGTGTATAAGTACTACGCATACATATTTATGAGAGTGGTTTTTTTTTTTTGTTTTGCTGTAATATAATTTATTTTTAAGTAATTAATCTATATGTAAATAACTGGTTTTATTATTTTTTTTTATGAAAAAATTCTAATTTATTTTTGGCCAATTTTAAATTAAAACTTAAAAGTAAGTTTTATTAGAAAAAAAAATATAATATTACGTAAAAACTGCACGATTCGATAATGGGAAAATAACATAAATGTATTATATAGCCGGTAATTTATGCAGTTTTACGGATTTTCAACACATATTTCGGTGACTTTCAACATTTATTTAAATAAAAAATTCATAAATGATTAATAAAGCGAATATTGTAACTATAAAATTCGAAAAAAAAACGCCCGTGAGCAACGAGAGAGCCGGATTTTTTTACAACTAACTAACTTTTCACTGTTACAATATTTCATGTTTTTTATGATTATTATTATTATTTTTTATAATTTGTTCAAAATAGTTATGATTATCTGAGATGTTATAACATTTCAGTCAGTAGGGGTATTCGAAAACCGGTATTTCCTGTGAAAATTTGAAACTTGAGCGTACATTATTTTATCATGGATAGGATTGATGATAGATAAAACACCCAACAAGCACATCCTTGATGCATACAAAAAATTTAATCCTCCGGCCAAAATCGTGTAACTTCAATCCGCCAATAAAACAACTGTTATTCTCGAATTTGAGCTCATTCGGTCCAGAGGGAAGCGCTAAAAGTGTCAAAAAGTGGCGGAAAACAGATAATATGATAAAACGTTTGACACAATAAAGTTGCGCTATAGTACGAGTATCATTTTTCCATGAAAATCCGACGGAGAACACTAGTAAATAACTTCGAGCGGATATTAGGTTTTATATTTTTTATTTGACTTTGGGATTTTTATACAGTCAGTTTTTTCGTCTACAGACGTGACAAATAATTATCGCAACTGAGCGAATGCCGGAAAATGTATTTTTTCGAAATTAAAAATGCGCAAACCTACGCGCGAATATCATATTTACAGTATGTAACCTTTCTCGCTATATACACAACGTCGTCAAACCCGAGACTGATTAAAAAAAAAAAAAAACCCCTAATGTAATAGTAACTGCGTGGGTATATGGGTGTAGAACACGACAAAAAAAAAAAAATAATAATAATAAATTTTAAAATATAAAAAAAACACATGCACGCACTTTATACTTCGATGACTTCACATCGTCGTCGTATCCTATTGTCTTTGACTTCGCTGTCGTTTTATCTTCTGTTACAGCCGGCCTTGTATACTCGGGGAGCGGGAAGGACGTTGGGGGTTATATTCTCCCCTCCCCCCGTTCGCTTAAAACTACAACGGCCACAAGTATTTATTTAGTAATTTGACTGCGGTATTATGCGTACAACATGTCCGCTGACACTGGAAACGTAAAAAGCTCGATTTACCGATTGAAACTCTAAAATAAAACTTTAAAATAACTCCAGGGTTCAAATAATTCTCGCTGTCGAGTCGTCAAGCTATATATCGAGACAGTATCAAGTACTTTCTGTAAATTAAAATGGTCAATGATAGTAATAAACGGACAAAACTTTTATCCCAAAATCAGTGTTGACGAAATGGGAAATATTTATATTCCTTTTCGGAATATTCGATAATCACAATGATTATCCGGAAAAATGTTCGTAAGATTGTTATTAAACACCTACTAATGGGCCATTCCGAGTTGTCACGTTATTGTTTTTCACAATTTTTTACCATTTATTTCGTATGATAAGAATTTATAGTTCATGAACATTACAGGTATTGATATCGCATTATAGTACACTAGGCATAGACACACATTATGTGTAAATTTAGGGGTATGCTAGAATAATATGTATGGTATACAGGTTCTTGGGGTGCATCGCCTAATAAACAATAAACTAAATCATAATAATTTTGAATTTTAATACGACCTCAGTTATAAATAAAACACAATTTTGTAGACGACCGTTTAAGATGAGCATATAAAACAAGATAATATGTATTATTATGATTACCTCCTGTACGATTGCTGTTTAATATTTAGACGAAAACGTGTGTTTACACATTACTGTTAAAAACTCGTGAATTCGTGAATTGTTTATCCAAACCAATAGACCGCAATAATTTTACAAACGATCGGGGAAATACTGAAATAGATTACACGGGTTATTTGTATCCAGGGGGCGCTAAGTACCCTCCTTGAAACCTGCTAGTAGTCTTTAACACACTCAAATTTAAAATTAGCACCCACCCAAAATTATCCGATAAGCTTTTTTATATTATCGACTAAATATTTACCTTCAGGTATCAATATAATATGTGTGTATGAAAAATAAAGTTAAAAAAGTTACGTTACATTTTTTTATAAAAAAAATGTGTAGTTGCTTATTATAGGCGTCGTGTAAAAAGAATTGTTCAGACGATGACCGCATTCAAATCACAGACCCCCTCCCCATTGTCACGTGTCTATAATTTTAGCACCCCCAAAGCCGGTGGTCTAGTTGCAAGTATACGGCTTCGGGTATTGTCATTCACGGTTTTCCGCGATTTACACCGCGGTTAACGTTTTCGCCGCGTCCCGACCTCCCGATTCCCGGCCAATTGCCGCCGACCGAACGACTGCCGCACCGTTTCGCCGTCTTCGCCAAAGTGTTCCGTCGATTTTGTAACGTTCCGCGCGTTCGGCTTCCGGACGGTTCGCGGTTTCGTTAATAATTTATCCGCGCGCCCGGGCGAATATTTGCTCGGCGGTTCGCGATGAAATTCGTATTCTCTCCCAACCTCGTCGCTCCGCGACCCCCCGCCCGCGACCGCCGGGTTCTCCGATGATCCGTCACGCCGCGGAGAATAAATCTAAACGGGCGGGGGTGGGGGGGCGTCGTATGCCGCACAGTCTCGACACGGTAACCCGAGCGAAACTCAAATGTTTACGTTAACACTCGAAAACATTGTGCGCGCCGCGTGTACACAGAGCCGTTTAAACGCCGGGTACGTCCCCGTCCGACAACAGCCGCCGCCGCCGCCGCCTTGACACCCCCCTCCCCCCCGTCAGACCGCTTTACCCTCTCGAAAGCCGCGCGCTTATAATCCGACTTTGTAATAATACACGTATTTCGCGCGACCGGTAATCTGCGGACCCGAAGCCGTATGACAAACTATAAACTGTTCGGCAATATTATCGTATCGACAAACAAAATACGCCTTCGGTACTCTTGGGAAAACGTCTCGCCGCTGTGCGTTTGTTTTTTCGCAGAGAGTTTATGATTCCGGAAAATTAACTGCGATCAGCAGCGGCGCAACCGGGGGCTCTTTTGAATGGGCGTGTCACGTGTCTACATTAAGAAAAAAACTCGTTTACATTACTTGTACGCGGATTTGTGGGAGGTGGCCGGACACCCGAAACACCGGACAGTCGCAATTCTGTTTGAGCCACTGACTACGAATGAACTGTTATTATTATCGTTATCAAATAGATCGAATATTGAAAATAGAATAAAAAAAATCTTACTAGGTGTAGACACTTTACCAAGTATACAAAAAATACTCGCGACACACGCCTCAAATATTAGTTACCCAAAAATAGTTTTCGAATCTATCGAACAATATTGTTAGGTTCTCGTATAATTGAACAACTAATAACATTATTGTCTAAATTGCCACGAACAAAACGAATATTATTTACCATTAAATTGTGGTTATTTTAATAGTTTTTTACTATTAATAAAATATAATGTTAGGTACACATTGCATAGTGTTACGCTTTTTTTTTTATTTACCCATCATATACGCCGCTATTTATTTATGGCGTTCCGTGGTGTTTTCGCACACAGAGAGCTGGTTAGGGGGTTAGGGGGTCATATTCCTTCCTCCGCCGTACTTTTTTTAATCAAGTTTTACATTCAACAACATATTCTCTACACCACAGAATAAAATAAAATTGTATTTTATCGAAAATCATTTATTCGGTAATACTACAGTTATAGTACTGGTGTACTGATAACATAACGTGCTACTCCCTCTCTAAGGAATTATTATAAACAAAATCCCTTCCTACAAATAACATGCGTGCGCTACTGCTTTGTGTTTACAAAGCCGACGGGGTTATTCATATTTACACCGGTCGGTCTTACGTAATGTATTGCGAGTACGCTTAGACCCGTATCCCCGACGACCGAATTCGGAACGATTTCTTGTCCGGCTTCTCTTAGAGCAATTTGTTTCCTAAACCAAACGGATACTTCGTGCCAGTCGTGGTATCAAACGGATAAAATATGTTCGGCGCGACAGCGAACACCCGCGGCCGACCCGTGTCGGCGAACGTCGAGAATCCCCGTACGCGTTTATTTTTCTTTTCGTTTACGCTTGTAATTTCCATCCCTCCCCCCCCACCCGTTCTTTTGTTTTTCTACCGTCACTTCCGGGCCGGGGGAAACGTTCCGCGTCTCGCGACGCTCGTTGATAATTTTCTAAAAACGGCCGTTTCGATTGCTGCTACGAACGCTCTCTCCTCTCTCTCCTCTCCGAGAGGTTCTCCGCGCTTTCTTTCCCGCGTATACCTACCGGCTAACCTCTCTGCCTCTCCGCAATATCCCACTACTCCGGTCGAAGTAATTAGTATATATGTATACACGAATAGTCTTAATTAATTCCTATTTCTTTACGTGCATACTATGTATGCTTAAACATTCACCCAGTCATTGTGTACACACCCCAGTCACGTGGTGTATATATATGCGCGACCCAGGACTTAATTGCTCGAGCAGACAATCCGAACCGAGGGTAGAATTTGTTTTTATTGTTGTTCTCCTTTTCACCGCGACCCTGGAACACCGTTTTATCCTCGCTCGTGACGCGGGTTTTAAGCGCCGCCGCCGTTCCCGCGACCGTATATAGTTTCGACGTATTTTCACCTTTGTCGGAGAAAATGTGGGGGGACGGGATGTGGGGCGGGTAACAGACACGGAAAATTCATCTGGAAAACGAGAAAAAAAAACAAAACAAAAAACTCCAGAGGTCTTATCTCGTACAACATGCTTGTATAATAATATTTACTCGAGTCGTAAAAAATATTGTTTTCCCTGTGTCCTCTTTATCGCCGGCTTTTTTTTTTTTATTTAATTCGCGCGATACCGCCACGGATGATATCGTTTTAACGAATTTAATATTGCGGAGACGATAAAGTTTTATCAATGGTTAATTCTTTTTTCCTTTTTTTTTTTTTTCGGATTGGTGCTCTGAACATTTTTCGGCTGGTTTCGAAAATTATTATTTCCCGGTTAAGGGAAAAAAAACGTAGAACATTTAAAAAAAAAAAAAAGTCCGCTTTGTTTTGGTGTTTTTATATATTTTGAATACGTGCAGCAGAACCCGCGCAAATAACACGTTCACAAAAAAAAAAAAAATAATACAATTTTTTCACCCCCGTTCGGGGGAATCGTTTAATTGAATTTGATTAAAAGTTAATTAATTAATTTCTTTTTGAACCCGAGTACAGACGCGTATGAGAAATTCGGACGGTTCTTCCGGGCATTCATTATTAAATATAATAACCGAATGCGTATTGATAAACGTCCCGGTGAAGCGTGCATAAAAAACCTGAACCCCGTAATGCGAGATAATACGTAACAATGAAACGTCGAAAAAAGCTGAAAAACGTTCTTATGCAACAAAATGTGTCATAACAAAAAAAAAAAAAAAAAAAAATCCAATTTCGAGTTATACCTCTTTTCCTACGGTTTTAAAACACAATCATTATTACGGTGCGACGTACCGCGTTCCTTCGTGTACAAAAATTCGAATAAATTTGAACGAGAGCGTGATATTACCCCGGGGAGGTTTCGAGGAAAATAATAAGTTTTCGTAAATGCAACGGCATAGCTATAGACGCACTATCGCCAAAATAATCTCACGATCGCGTTACAATTGACACGAACAATCGTGCGTGTAGTGGGGCGGGTAGTCGGGATTTCCGAGGAGAGTTCTTTTCACTGTATACATTCGAATACGACTAGCGGACGGAGGTCTGTCTACGCGGAATAGCATAAAATCGCATTGTCAATGTCGTTTACAGAAACAAAAGCCGTTGATTCGTTTACATTCGAGTTAATATTGTCGATGTGGTACTCGAGCCCGGATTAGGACGGGGTCCAGGGAGGGCCATGGCTCCCGGGGTCTCAGTTTTCGCCGCGTTGTGTTGCGTTACGCGTATGCATTTAACCGTTGACTTGGTGCTTTGATAATTTAATATTTACTCGTTGCCCGATCGTGACTCATTCGCATTATTATTGTACATAGTAGTAAAAACTGCTATAGTGACTTTGTTAAAACCCATTTGTTTACTTATTTAAATAGTACTATTGTGGCTTTAGAACTGTGATAAGATCAATCTTATCAATCAAATCTGTGAAGATCAATACGCGGATGTCTACACTAATTGTTATTTTTATTTTCTTAAAACATAGTGGTTGGTAAACGTTTTAAAAAAAAAAAAATTTGCTCGCACCTTGTCTGTAGGTTATCTATATTATTTGTTCTGTTCATTAATTATGAAGTAAATGGATAAAATAATTAGTCGATACTATAAAAAAAAAAAAAAACACATTCGGTATATTAGTCGTGCTAATTTCAAAGTCGGAGATGCTAAATAACCCCAAGCACCCGCCTAGTTGCGCCTATGGATCCGAGCTTCCGCGAGACTTTGTTCGCGGGACTCAGCACGGCGAAAAGTATGCGCGCGTAACGTTCCGGCAGTGACTCCCCGGGCCCTCTGCTTCTCCGTTATCGCACGTGTTTTTTTTTTTTCCGTTTTTGCCGTCTCGTCGTACCGCTGCGCGGCTACGCCGAAAATCCAATTAAACGGGACGTATTTTTTTTTTTTTATACTGTTATTTTCCAAAGGATCGTAAGATTTAATCCGCGTTTTATTACCGGCCGAACGCGTAAAAGACAAAGGCGTGTGATGCGCGACTGACAAATACGTTTTAACAGGCCAATAAAATCGCGCCGCGCGTACACGGTTTGTACGGTCTCGTATTAAATTTTATACCGAGGTCTTAAAAACCTTCTCGCGTCCGGCTGATCCAATACATTCTTTGTATTGGACTGTTTTTTTTTTTTTTTTACTAACCATTCAAAATGATAACTGATAATGTTTTACGATATCGTAATTTAGATTCCGGACGGCGCGGGGAATGTGTATTTTTATTTTTTTACTCATAGGACGCCTACGCCTACGTTGGCCGGTGAAAACACACACATAGATGGATAATATTTGAATCGGATAAAAGCGCACGGGAATTAACACTGTTTAAAATAATTCATAAAACGGCGAACCGTTTGCGTGTCAAACGTCGACCGCTTATCGTCTTATCGTCGTAACGAAAAGTGTACCACCGTGTCACACACCGAATTCGTCCTCGCCGGCCAGCGACCGCTCGAGATTGCCGCGTCGACGGTTCGAATCTACGGGCGCGGGCTGTTCGTCGTGACACTGCCGAAACGATTGAATGTCGTGCGGTTCGTGAGACGGACGCGTGCCGGTGTCTTAACGCCCTGCTTAACGGGACTGATTGTTCGCACGCGCTACGACACCGATCGGATACGTACGCGAAAAATGCGCGATGAAAGGAAAATCCGAAATACGCGAGAAATAAAACGTGTTATCGCCTCTCGCGTACCGTCGGATCGCGAAACGTATTTCGGTGTATACAAACTGTAGCCGTAGCTAGGTGTGTGTTGGGCGTGCGTTTATTTTCCCCCGTCCGCCCGGGGGCGGACTTCGTAAAACACGTAACCGCGGCGATCGAGAAAAGGCTCGGGAGAAAGAATCACGGCAGCCGACCTTTTAAACGCGCGTTCCGTACAAAATCTATTATCGACCGCGAGCGGAACTTATGAGTGCGCGTTCGGTGTCCGGATCCCGAAACGCATAATTATTCGGCCGTGTCATACCGGAACGCCGCCGCATTATTTGCGAACACGAAAAGCGGGCGGGTAGGGGGGGGGGCGCTTGGCGGTGCGACAGCGGGTAAGTTAGGCGGAATCTGTAATTCCGCGCGCGCTCGAACGACCCCGGGCCCGCGGTAATCCGGTACAAATAACACTGTCGACGACGGCAGTGACTGCGACACGGTCGTAATAATGCCGCGGTGCACGCGAACCTGTGGATTTGGATTTGGAAATGAACCGGCAAATTAGATTACCCCGCCGACGCCGCCGCCGGGACGATAATCGTCGACGCGGCCGAGGTGTTCGAACGGCGGCGGTCCGGGCGATTCGCGTCCGCGGCGGGCGACATAATTAAACGTCGTCGTCGTCGTCTTCGCCCGCGCAAAGAATTATTAACAACGACGCGGCAGAGAGGCGGAAAACTTTGCCGCGGCCGCGATTCGCGATTAATTATCGCCGCGGCCGCGAAACGCCCGCGCCCCCCTCCCCCCAATCCTCCCTCGTACGTACGCCGGCCGATCCCCGCGGATTGTCGTCCGACAATCGGAACGTCCGTCCTCCGCGCCCCCGGGGCGCGCGTAATATACGCCCGGCTCACAGGGTGTATCCGGGCGAGAATCGACCGAAACGAACGGTCCGTCGAATCATCGCGGGCCGATGATCCACGCACCCCGTACGCGGCGCGAGTTATGCGCGCGCGAGTGCACGCCCGTGACAACGACTGCGGAATTTTCCGAGCCAACGGGTCTCCCGGTATCGCGCGACCGTCGCCCCGAAATCGACTTTAATTTGCGGTACTGTCGAACGCGGTTACGCACGTCTCGGTGGTTTCGAAATCGCGTAGACCGTATACTGCGCGATATTGTTGTAGCGGCCGCAATGCATACATTCGATAAACGCCAAACATTACTTATTACTACAGACCGCGATTATTGCCGTCGCTCCCGCCACCGCCGCCGTCAATACGATACCGACCGCGTGTGCTCACCGACGCAGTTTTCATTCGATTTCGAGCCCGGGCGGATTCGGATTGTCCCGAAACTACCGCGGAAAATACTATTGAGTATTTTTTCATGATAAGAACTGTATTTGAAAGGGGGCGGAAGGTTCTTAGCCAAGTTTTAGCGCGGATAAATCCCCAGATTCCTCCGTTCTATTTGTAGTATACACGTTGTACACATTCAGACATACTGCGCACAAATAAATATCTAGTAAAACAAAAACTTGACCTAAAATATAAAACCTGCAACTCCACCGAGACCTCAAAACTCCAAAAGTACAAGTACGAAGGAATTCAGTTCCAGACCAGGGAGTTACGAAATGATAGAGTGATTACGGGAAAAAACCGTGAGAATAAGAATAATATTACCGACGAAAAATTATTTTTCGTGCAATTTGAAATTTACAAAACCGATTTACGAATTCCACACAATAACCAAAACGTTAAGGAATTTAGAAATTAAGAAAGCGCGATACTCGTACACGTTGTCTCACACACGACGCGGCATAGCAATTTTGCGTTCTACAAGGACAACACGTGTGTGTTATTAATTTAAATATAAAAACGAGTGCTCCTTTATCAAACTCGAGGACAATATAAGATAAGATGAGTACATTGACTGCACGACAACGGCGATAATTTCGACATTTTAATATTCAAGCGAGATATATGTGTTATCAAATCGAGATATTTCACACAATTATCTTTTGCTGTTAAATCTAACATTGCAAAATGGTTCCTGCCGAACGGCGAACGCGAATTTGCTTCGTCGTTTTAAGCGCCCGTAGGACAACACACGCTGGTATCACGTCTGCTCAACATTTATTATATATTCCTGGATTTTGTATACGATTTATGTAAAAAAAAAAAAAATAATAAAAAATACATATCGAACTAAACTTCTCGGTTGAAAATATATTTTGTATTATCGTTCACGATCGGTTTTTATTCGCAAAGCAATTTAAAATTAACATAAATATAACTTCGTAAAATAAATGATACAAATATACGGTAGTACGAGGATTTTTTTTTTTTTTATTAATTTTGAATATACTCATACTATCTATGTGTGTGTCATATTTCAATGTTTATATTATATCCAAGTCTTTGGCTATAGCCAATAAGAAATATATATTATTAGATGTATACACTTCTTGCGAAATTGATTTTTTTTCATCTATATTTATTTTTTTTTTTTTAAATTAGAATTACTTAAATATTTACAGAGGAGAAAAAAATATAATATTACAGAGACGTTTAAATCGTTGGCAGGTGAATAGGACAAAAAAAAATAAAAAATAATAACCTTTTTTTTCATTGCGCAAAAATGTATGTTTATTTATTGTTACTTTTGATATTAAATCTAAAACAATTTTAAAAAAAAGCTGATACTACTGATGATGGGTGTGTCACTGTTGTAGGTGGGAGAATGAAAAGGTTGGACAAATAACGTTATTTTATTTATGTCCGTTGTCAACAATACGCTATCGCTAACGAAAAACGAATCTGAGCGGAATTCGGTTACACGCGTCTTAATAGGCCATAATATTTACAACTTTCATAAAAATTTGTTCCTAACAACAATTAATAGTTAAATCTTATACAATAAATATAATATAAAATCAAAATCAATAACAATTCAAAAAAAAAAAACCTAATACATTCCCCATTCAACATTTTTTTACCACTTAATTAAAACTATAATGAACCTCGTATTTTATTTGCGAGCATTCCTGGCTGTTCAAATAATTTTATCTACATAATATCTACCAAAGAAAAACTATGTAAAAATAAAAATAGAAAATGTAAAACGCCCAAACACTGCTCCAAAATATTTACAGAATATGTTGAAAATTGTATCACGTCTAAAAGGCTTATGAGTTTTTGTCAAAATCTGTCAATTCTCAACGAATAATTAAACCGGATTAAATCAAAAAAAAAAAAAATTTTAAATAATGAAACCGATATTTCCGTTAGCTTTCAATCAATTATTCGGAAAACTACATTGAAAAACGATAAAACGACTTGTTCAAATATTACATCGAATATTAAATAAAAAAAGGTATCTTATCAATTTTCAATTGGAGTTGCTCACGAACACAAAAAATACAAAAAAAAAATCAATATCATCCCTTCTTCACTACGCTTCGAGTCTAGAAAAAAAAATTAGACCACTTTCGTCGCGTGTCGTTATCGACGTCTGTTGAAATCAACGATAAAACGTTTGTATCACCTTTATTAAATCGATACTAGGCACATTAGGTATAATTTTATGTGTATAACTACCGTCGAAGCGATCAATTTTAAACACAATTGTCGTCTTTGTCGCTTTCGGCGCCTAGTTTTAAGGTACTTATAAGTAACGACGAAGCGATCTCGACGGCGGCGTTTGTTTCGAAGTAGACGTTCATTGGTAACTGGTTACGTAAAAATAATTTAAAACAATTGTGTACAATATTGTTACTGATGTTTTTTTTATCCCTAAAACCGATTTCGAATGACTCTTCGTTTGTTATGGCTTTTCAAGCGAATTGCACGCGCGTTTCGGCTGTATCGCCTTTTACGGAAATAAGACGGCAAAACGGCCTCTTAACGCCGCGCCGCCGTCTCGGAGGACCGAAGCGAATAGAAAACGGACGGAACGAGGGGAAGAAAACCGGGTGGGGGACAAAAAAAAATCCATTCCGAATAGCATCACGAGGCTTATACTCGTGGCGCATAGAGGGGCGGCTTAAGTTGTTAACGATATCTGCAAAAGCTCTTTTGGCGACGTTATGCAAATAGGAAACTATTAAAACGGTGCCGTGACGACGACGGCGGGGGGGCGAGAGAGAGGGGGAAAGGGTTGTGGAGGGAAGGACCGAAATAATTCTCTATCCCCTCTATATATCACTTACACGCCGCGGTATCCTTACGCGTTGGATCGTCGTCGTCGTCGGGTTCCGAGTGCGGGTTAAGTTAATGATTTAGCGGCGAAACCCGTATTTCAAAAAAAAATTACGTCTCTATAATATCGTATTAAATATATACACGCGGATTCTCTCTTCGGGGGGGGGAGAGGCTGAATTCTTCAGAGTATATTATTATCGTATTGTCTTGTTAAGAAGGGAGAACAATATTGTTGTCTTGATTTACATAATATACGGTTATGGTTTTTCTTTTTCACGTTTTAGTTTTACTTTTTTTCTTTTGTTTTTAAGTCTGTACACAACTTTTTCTACTAGAAAACTTTGTCCAACCGAAACTTTATACGGGAACTTTCTTGTAGCATTTTTGATCTTGTCAGTGCATCGAAGAAGTCTTTCCTTGTACGGTTTTCTTAATAAACGGGAAAAACTGACAATATTATTTACTCCGGCAACAAGGAAGGAACCAATACGACTGACGATAATACTCCGCTCGGAATCGTTTTTGATTAGTTATGGGTTGTCGTCGCGTACAGAAATAAATTAAATTACTTTATATTATATCCATCCTTCTGACTCACCTACCTCCAAAAACATTGGCACATCCGTCATCTGTATAAGCTTTTAATTTTTGAATTATTCATTTAAGACTTGTTAGACTTGTTTTTTTCAATATTTTACCAGCCGAAAAGAAAAGAAAACTTAAGGGCTGCGCCATTTACATTATTTTTAATAATCATTTACAATGTCCATGGTTTTAGCAAGAAATTATATAATTTTCTTTTTTCATCTTCGTTTAAATCAGTGATTAGGTTAAGCTATCATCTAGAAGGTCGTTTGTAATATATATACGAAGTGATTCATCAAGCATGTTCACTACATTTTTAAAGTTTAATTATGTATACATTTAAATTCTGATTTTTGGAATATTTTATGTGTAGTTAAAGACGATATATTTTTCGTATACTTAGATTTTTCAGAATATTGAAAGTATATCCCCTGTTCTCAAAATCAGAATTTACGTATATGCATAATTTACACCAATAAATTAATGCTAAATGAATCGCCCTGAATAAATATTTTTTTGTCAAATTTTTTCCGAAATATATAACAGTGTTTTTTTTAGCTATGTATATCCCTAGGGATCCCCCTTCTCCAAAGTCAGGGGAATGGAATTTTTATATACGCATGGCACAAGTATCAATAATGTGCCCTTTGGTGATTTCAACTTTCAATCCCCTCCCCATTTTTATGACCAGATTCCATACATTCACAGGAAATGGCTGGTTTTAAATATCCTTATTGACTCGTGAATATAAGTAACTCGATTAAAATGTGTATCTTGTAAATAGAATTTCTTTCGATGATACGCCTGTAGTTTGTATGTTGGCGAAAAACTCGAAAACTACTTTACTTATTTCGACAAAATATTTTTTTCTATAATAGAATACTTCCTATATTCCTTATTATAATATAAAAAAATTAAATAAACTAGACGGAATCATTGTAACGGCAACATGTCGGCTGAGGGAAAATTCGACTCTAATGATGGAGCTCCGCTGTTCGTGGGTATATATTTTTTTTTTAAATTCTGAGCCTAAAGAGGAACATATTTTTAATCGAAACATTTCCTACAGACGAGATTTGTGTATATTTACACCATAGAAAAACGTTTTTTTTTATTTTTTTTTACGGTGATATTGCGAAAACGCCCCGAACAACTGCAGCTTGTGTACCGCTGTGCACATTTGCTCATTTTGTTCGAAACGTTTTTCTACGGATTCGCGGCGGTTAACCGACGGTAATATTATTGCGACTGGTTTTGGCTGCGTTTTTAAATGGATTTTAGAAAATAAAAAAAAAAAACGTTTTACCCGCTTGATTTTTGTTCAAAACAAACGCCGTCGTTTCACGAAACACGGTGCAATGATTACCCTATAAATTGCGTTGCACCGTGATAACAATAATAATAACAATAACTGTAGCCGATAAAACCGCAATGGTCCGCAGACTCGTGTTTATTATCGGCCGTTTTAATTGCGCCATTCGGGAACGCCTCCGACGTGCCCCTAAATAATAAAAACGGAAAAATTAAAGCTCTGCTCGTAAAATTCAAACGCGAAGACGAAAAACAAAAACGAGTGGACTCTTAAGGAAATTTCGGAATAAAGAGGCCCGGATATGCAAAATATTTGCAACTGATCGCAATGTTTGATGCACATTATGCGTCCAACAATGATTCCGAACTTAACGAAAATACGAAAATTACGATTTCGGATTTCGAAATTCGAGTTTTTAATTTTTTTTTTCACAACTACAACAATTGGAACGAATCGACTACAGATTTCTTTTTAGTCGGTAAGTAAAAAAAAAAAAAATACCCACGGCAGCGGCGGTTCTATTCTCGGCACAAACGGCTTTATACGCTAACTTCCGTGGGAGGGGGGTGAGAGGTGTTGACGTGGTGGTAGAGAAACGATACTAGAGTAGACCCTCCCCCCACCCCAAAATGCGCTGACCAGAATATTTAATACGCAATGGGCATCGACTGGATTACGTAATAATAAACTTCACGCTGGCGTTTCGAATCTTCCCCCCACCCCCCCGCCTACGGGCTGCGCGGCGGCGGAACGATACGCGTATGCGTTACGCGCCCGCGGTCGCACGCGCACGATACACGTCGCGCAAAAGTTTTCCGAGATGCCCGGCCGCGTTCGCAGTCGGGGAACGTATCACGTTCGCTCCGCAGAGCGTAATACATTACTACGGGCGGCGCACCCTTGCGCGGGCCGTCGCCAGAAGGACACTGCTCGATTCCTCCCCCCCCCCACCATCCCACTCGTTCTTCGGAACGTAAAAATCGCGATCGCGGTAGGTAGTGGGTAGAACGACGCTCTTGTGCACGCGCTCTCCTTATCGATCTCGTCAACACGACGCGACGCGCTCAATGTAAATATAATATCATACATGTACGTGTGGTGCGCGTATATCTACGTGCGTGCGTGTTGAATAATAACGTCGCGGACCGTACGCGTCGAGTGGCCCGTCTCGCGAGTCCCCCGCGGCCTGCCGCCTCCGCGTGGCCGAGCGGCGGCGGCGGCGGCGGCGGTGCGGATACCACTGCAACGGCCGCATCGTTATAACAGCACGGCGTGCGCCGGCCGCGGAACGGTAATCAATGCAAACGCGCCGCAGTCGCCGGGAATGCGACAAAAGTCCCGGGGGACACGGTTTTAGGGATTCAAGTCGCGCGGCGACAACGGACCCGATCGGCCGGATCCGACGGCGTTTAAAAGACGTCGTCGTCGTCGTCGTTGTCGTCGCTGCCGCCGCCGCCGCCGCCGCCGACGCCGGGACCGCCGCCATCTCCTATAATCAATATACCGCCCGCCCGCTGGCCGCCCCGCGCGACGACCGCGACCGGTCGCCGGCAGATCGCCCAGACGCCGCCGTGGTGGCGCCCATCTTTTCGCCCGCCCTTTGTCGCCGACCGCACACACGCCGTACGCGCGCACCACGTGCGGACTTCGCGCGCCGCGGGTGCACCCCGGCGGACAGGGTCCCCCGAACCTCTCGGACGATAACGAGTGCAGCTCGCCGGACGGCAGATCCGCGGTTTGTTCCGTTTCAGGTTTCGGCGGTCTTTTATCGCTGCCCCGAGAACAATCGAACGCGAAACCGACGGCCGCTTCGCTGCGCTACACGTTTAAAACGAATACCGCACGTTTGTCACGCCTTTGTTGGAAAATTAACCGTTTCGGAAATAAGTGGTCCGTGACCCCCCCTCACGCCGCCCCTATAGTACGCGACGCAGTAGCTGTTCGGCCCCTGCCCGCCTCATTGGTTTCGGGGTAGAAACGTCCGAGAAAAATCAAATCCGAAGTTTGGACAACTCGGACATTAACGCGGTTATAAATGTTACATGTATAATACTGGGTACATTAGTTTCTAGACGGCCGGACATTTATAAATTTCGGACGTTTCAACTGTTGGTCGTTTTTACCGAGTACCGGCACGTCGCGCAAAGGCTTTGTCGCACACGCATTTCACGTGCTACGTATACCTGTGCGTATACATTATTACATAAACGTCGGGCGTTATAAACCGAGGCCGAGGGATTTGCCGTTAACCCCGTTATTTTTACCGTACGCCGCACGTCGTAACGGCAAGATAAATTTGTGTACAGTGCATGGTGACGGGGTGAGAGGCGCGGGCGGGCGCGAGGCCGGGATGAAAAAAAAAACGGGCAAAGGATTTCGCTGCGAAACGGGATTACACATCACCTCTACACATGCGTGCGCAAAGGTTTACCGGAGGTATTATAATAGGTACACGATGTATTTAAGTGGAGCACCTACGCACGGGAGTCCTGAGTTCACTTATCGTCCGCGTTTTTTTTTTATTTTTTCAAACACCCCAAAAAAAAAAAATTAAGACGAATTAAGCCATAACAGATAGTGTGGGTAGTCGGGAAGATTGGATATACGAGGGGGGGGGAATTAAAGTCTATACACCGTAGTATGCGACGATAAATCGTTACGGACGAAAATGAATGGTTGATTTTCGGTTTTGTTCAATTTTTAAAAAAAAACTACAAAGAAAATGAAAAAACCGACTTTCTCGGTCACCGACTAGATTAAAAATGGAACGAAAAAGACGTGTCTAGTTGGTTTTCTGTCGGAGCAATTTTTTTCGATACAAAACATCGTGAACAAAAATTAAAAACAACGGAAACGGCTGGCCGTGAATATTCGCCGTTTCGCCAATAATTTTCTGTCGGGTTTTTCCCGATTATTTCGAAAACCCGTCGGCAAAATCGAAAAAAAAAACGACTTCACTAACGCACCGGTAAGACGAAATTTCCTTTCGGGAAAAAACGCTACACTTATATACTTCGGGAGCGAGATTTCCGGTAGAAAAGTTGCTCACAGTCCGACAAAAAAAAAAAAAAATAAATAAAACAACGGTCACCGAACCCGTCGAACTGTTGTAGTCGTACGGCGCAGAGTCAGCGCGGCGAGAACTCAAAAACGTCGCAGGCGTTTTTATTGAGCGAGCGTTTTATAATTTGTTTGGCCCTCCCCTTCCCTCCCTTCACCCCACCGCCGCGAAACTGTGTGCGGGGCGCGCGGAGACGGGTAATACGGATCGCCGTGTCCGATACGCGAGAAGTGGAAAACACAAAGAAATTAGCGCGCCCTAAACGAATTAATTATGCATGTAAACCGTGCGCCGAACGAGTTTTTTTCGCCTCCGCGAAATCGGATCGCGTTCGGTCCTGAGCGGCGGCGGCAAACGACGCGAAAACCCGAGCCGCAAAGCGTTTACAATTCACTGTAATCCCGAAACGAACATTGCAACGACGTATTATTATGGCATTACGGTCGTTTCAATACGTTTCGCGTAAAGTCTCGAAAATGTCTCCCGGTGAACACGCGGCGGCGTTCGCGGGCCGGGACGGGACGTTAACGGCAATACCGCCGCCGCCCTCTTCCGCCACGAACGCGACGCGTGTTCGATTCGGCAATTTAATCTCGAAACATGTACGGCGTTTATTTGTTTGCACGGTGAAAATTGCCGGGCGCGTCACGGTAGCCACCCCGGGGGGGGGAGCTACGAAAAACGACCTATAATAATAATAATAATAATACACACGTGGTGTATAACAGTAAAAAAAAAAAAAAAACCGACCGAATTAACACGAGGGGATGGTTTTTTTTCGATAATAATAATAATATTCCTTTTTTGTATAACGGTAGAAGAAAATACAACAAAAAAAAAAAAACCGACCGAATTAACACGAGGGGATGGTTTTTTTTCGACATTCCTTTTTGAAAAAACGGTAGAAGAAAATACAACAAGACCAAAAGGGCCGCGCCCGTTTCGCCCAAAACTCGATATTTTCCCCGTTGCGCTCGAACGAATTTCGGTCGTTTAAAATTAAATTGGCATTGTCTTTGAACAGTTTAAACACAATGTAGAAAATTATTTGAAAAATGTAAATCGCAAATTATTATTTTATCATTTTATGTGTAGCGTTGAAATTCCCCCCCTCCCCAAAGAAAAAAGAAAAGACAAAAAAAAAAATACGAATTATAGTCCAGAATATTTTATTGCAACGAAAAAACGTGAAACTTTTATATAAATCTGGTGAAATAACTAGACATGAGTTTGTAATAAACACGCGTAGAAATTAAAAAAAGAAAAACCACGATTGTGATGACTTTTTAAGTAATATTTAATAAAAAATGGCCAATAACGATTTCTATCATAATTTATAATGTATAATTTAATATAAATTTTTAGATTCCGAGTGTATCGAAGAATGTATCGGTTTTATTAGGATGTTTATTTTTTTTACACTGTGTACAAAAATTCTATTAGAAATCTTACTCAGATATGTACGCGCGACACCATTTCTGAAAGGGAATTTTGTTCGGATGGTTTTTTTTAGAAGGTCGTTTTTCGATTTTCCAAGCGGTTTTCATAATATCTGGGAAAAACCATGATCGAAAGTAAGAAAAACGGGAAATATACGAAAATATGTTTTTATTATTTTTCAATTTTGTTATTAGTGGTAATTCAGTTAAAAATATTCGTGAAAACTTGAAATTTGGACGAAAAATTTATATTTGCCTTTTTAAGACGCGATAACATTTTCAAAATATTTAAACCGTTTTTGAGCTATTTATAGACATTTTAATTTCTGTGAGTTTTGTACGTAATTTTTATTCGATAGGTTCTCTGTGGTAAAATTGTTAAACTTTATAATGATAGCACTTTTTCTAAAAGGAAATCTGACCGGGGAGGTACTTTGAGGATGTCATTTTTTCGATTTTCCTTAGAAAAAACCGAGAAATAACATAGGAAAACCAGGAAAAACGGGATAATCGGTACAATATTAAACAAATATTATCAAAAAAAATATATAATGCATTTTTAATTATCTGACTATAAAGTGACATATTTATTGATCACAAAGCAACACTATTAACTGAACTCCGCTCATAATTGTATTTTCGTAAGCAATGTTTTATCGTTGCTTAGAGTTACACATTAAATTACCTGTATCAGTGGCTGCACCAGTCTCCATTATCCTAGGACGTTTTTTATATGTTTATTTTTACCACAACATTTTCGTGCGGACACATACATACCGTATGTGACACATGCATGTTCATACATACTGCGACACATTTTTATATAAAATAATAATTTGACAATTTGTGACGTACGTATTTAAAAAAAAATGTCTACGCGTTTCAACCGTTATCCGAAAATCATTGCCGTCTTAATTTTAAAACCGAGAAAATGTGTTTGGACGAAACGGGACTTTGGGCAAAACGGGTCGCGCCCGACCAAATACTGATGAAAACACGCAGTGCGAACGATTGTACTAATGTCTATGTGCTTATAGTGAAACGTTAGTTCGGCGAAAATATCCGGAATGTAATGGAAATGGCGGATAGAACTAAGGGAGCGCCTCCGAATAAAAACGAAAAAATCGTCTCGCACTATAATTGTTTTCGGTTAACGTAGTAATTGGTTGAGTCGAGAAGAGTATCGCGAAAAACCTCAAAAATAATCTACATCATGAAATCCTACCATAACATGTCGGAACCTAAAAAAAAAAAATTTGAAATACTCGACAACATTACAATAAAGCGTAAGCACAGTTTGTTAGAACTATTTTTATTTATTTTTTTTCAGCGACGGATCATATTTACGAAATACGTAACACTCTGTAGAATTGCCTATAACGCGAGTACTTAAAATAATGAAATTTTTCTACGCTCTCGTGTACGAAAACAGTTATCACGCTTTCCTATAATATTGTTACACATTTTTTTTATTATTTTTTTTTTTTTTTTTATAGAAAACTTAACATTATGTAATATTATCTATAAAATGGCAATAAATTGTTATGGCGAAAAATTACGCCATGTAGTAATACGCTTACGTCTAAATTAATGTTTTATAACTAAAGTTTTTTTTTATTATTATTATTTCAACCGACCGCTAGTAAGAGGGAAAAAAAAACATTTTCACCGCAGACGTGAAAAATAAATGATATTTTTCCAAATGAAAATCTATCACTTTAAAAAAAAAAAATAATATCATCTATAAAACGTACATCGCGGCTTCCCCCCCCCACCGCCCAGCGAGAAAATTGACACAACTCAAAACGTACGATTTTCGAGTTCAACGGAACGCTCGGAACACCGTCGTTTACAATTTATTCAGTTTGGATTTTTCCGTTCATTCGACAATATTATAGACGGGAACGTACAGTTTTATTTCTGTTCGAATCTAAAAGTTCGGCGGAGTGCGAGTTTCGGGATGTGAAAAAAATCGTACGTCAAACGCCCTACAACAATTTCACACGGGACTAATTGTAATACAAAGAAAATCACGAACCGTTAAAAAGACGATAGCCGAATTATTTTCAATATTGGCTTTGTGTCGTGATTTATTTTTTTTATTAATTTTATTGATATTATTAATTTTTTTTTTCTCCGAATATGAAACGCGAAAATATATAGAAAACAATTTATACCTGAAAAAGAAAATAATTTAAGGGTCTTAAGTTAAAAAAAAAATCTAACAATTTCGAATGTCGGAAAAAAATTTCAAGTCTGCGAAAACGTTTTTTTTTCTCTCTCTCTCTCTCTCATTAAACAACTACGATAAAATCAAAAATAATTGTAAACCTAAAAACAATATCGTAATAATAATAATGTAAAAATTTAAAATAATTATAATGAAAATAATAATATACGCGTAATAATTTTTTTTTTTATTTGCGGTCGGGCGCAAAGAGTACGCAAAACTTCTTACCGTTACGTGGTGGCGGTGGCTACGGTCGGACGCCGCAGCCGTTGGGACCGGCGAGCACGGCGCGCTGACGACGCCGGTGGCGACGTCGCGACCGCCGGAGCATCACAAGTTGCCGGTCGGTGGCTTGCAGGCGGACTGACGACAGCATCACGGCCTGGCGGACCGTTACGGATTCACGCGGAGACGGCGGCGCGCTAACAGCCGCGCCACAGTCATGCCAACTCGGTCAGTGGCGACCGCGGCGGCGCGTCGAGCACACCCTGTCGGTCGACGGCACGGCGTCGGCGTTACGCGCGTCTTTGTCTTCGGAAATCCCGGGCCGTCGTCGCCGATCCGTCAACGGGACGCTTCCCGTATCGCACACGCCCAAACACGCACACACAGGGACGGATTGGAACTTTAGAAAATTAATACGAAACAGCCCATATTTGGTAGGGGGGCCTGGTGGCAGTCCGCGAGCGTACATTGTTGCCAAAGTCAATTTTTTCGGACAATTAAAATTTCACATTACATTTGTATTGATGTACATTATGGTGTATTGATTGAATTAACCATACATAACATAAATTGTTATGTGTACAGAGCGATTTCTTTTTTTTCATGAACCAGCAATTATATCGGAGAATTTTCGATGAATTTGATTTTTGTTTTTTCTAGTCATTATGGAATCGTTTAATTTTATTTCAAAACCAATTTTATTTTTTTTTTTATTTTTTATCCCCCTTTCAAATAACTGGGTTATAGCTAATTAATTGCCAATCTATAACCCTTCCCTACTCCTCCGGTCTAAATTTTAAACTGCAACAACCCATAAACGGTAAATCTGATATTAGTGGTATGCATATCGAAATGTCTAGAAAAATATTCTCTATTCAAAGTTGTGTTCAATGGAGGGGGGGGAGGGATCCTCTTTGAAAATCAAAAATAAGTACTTATTTACGGTGTGTAGGGGGAAGTAGGGATAAAAAAAAAAAAAAAAATTGAAAATCGTTGTAAATCGGAGCAAGATTTCTGGCGGAAAAGTTGTCCACAGATAATAAAAAAAATACAACAAACGCCTCTGTAAGACCATAAGGTTCTTCGCTCCATTCGGCGTCTAAAAGCATGTGAAACAATATTCTGAATAAGTAGGTACACTGCATACCAAATGGCAAAATACGATAAACGTCGAATGCGTGTGGAGCGTGTGAGCGGAACGAACGAATTTAATCGGAACTTTTGACTTTGAATAGAAGCCACTAGCGATTAGACATTAATTTATGCTTAATACTCCCATCGGGAATTTCCCGATTGCCCGATGGCCCGATCCGTCCCTGCGTACACACACACATACGAACGAAAATTTATATTGTCCAAATTAAATTTGTTTATTATTTTTTTATTCGCAAAAATAATTATTAAAATAACATAATACTGTATCCACTTGACATTTAAAACGTCACCCGAAACCGGTCCCTCGTTATTATCGCGAGACGCGCAATTTTCGTTATTTCGCCGCGGTCGATTTAACGGCCGATAATTTCAAACGCTAGAACCATAAACGTGTAGAACGCGAACCGAATAATTCGGCAAAAATTGTTTATTTTATTTTGTTTTAAAATTGAAGTTTATCCGAAATGCCGTAGCGCAGAGTTAACTCCCCGCGGATCTGCAAATTGGCGTTCTTTTTTTAGCCAGCGAACACCGGCGAATTTCATTTGACCGCAAATAAAATATCACCCTGGTGGCCGACCGATTTTAATATTGGACGACCGTCCCCGTTGACGTTTGAAATCGTTTTTCACTATTACGAAAAATTTAATTCAAAAAGTAACCTTTGTAGCGCCAAAATGCAATACGAAAAAGTCCCGATTGGGTTTTCGATTAAATAGATAGTCTCCGGGTAAAAATTCGAAATAAAATGTGAAAAACGAAAAATATGGCGCCGAGATTTTAGGAGATAGACGTAGTCAAAATTGGGCGTCTGTGACGAGAGCACCGCCAGCATTACTCTTTCCGAGTGTTTTGCAGTAGAGAAATGTCTGCAAACAACGATAAAACATTTCAAACGTGTTTTGAAAGACCGAAATATTTAAGATTTTCGTCAAAATTTTGGTATTGAAACTCGTGTACAAAAAAAAATACTTCTTTACACTCGATTTTTAATTTGTTTTTTTTTTTTTTTACCAGAAAGCACGACTTATATAACAAACCTCCAGTTAAATTTTCAACCATTTCTGTTTAATATAACAATTTTCTCCACTGCGCATTTACATACCATATAAAAATTACGTAAAAAACTAGCAAAATTAAAAAGACTTTACCACGTCTCAAAAAAAAAACCAATACAAGAATTCTATGCATTTTTCAGGTCTCAGGTCTCAAGATTATTTTTAACCGAATTACAACAAACAAGATACGCGCATATTTTGTGAAATTTAATGTGTATCTGCAGGCGACGATTAATCATTGCTAATGAAAAACGATGCTGAGCGGATTTCGGTCAATAGTGTTGCTCTGTTAACAATATACGTATACGTGCATTGTTTATTTTCTTGAATAATATTTGTTTAATATTGTACCTATTTTCCGGTTTTTCTCATTTATTACGAAAACCCTAGGAAATATCAAAAAATGACCACCCCAGTCATATTTCCATTCAGAAAAAGTGCTACCATTGTAAATACGAGCAAAATTGTCGGTAGAAAAGTCGGCACAGAAAATAAGAAAAAAAAAAAAAGAAAAAAATTAACATCATTGTAAAACCAAGACCGTTTTCGCTCCACTCGAAATCTAAAAACGTGTACCACCGATACAACCGATGTACGTTAAATATTATGTACGCTTTATGTATTACTGTTCGTATGGCAACAAATCGACATTGCGGCAGATTAAATTTAGCTTATGAGTTGTGACAATAAAACAAACGTGGATGATGTTCACTGTGTTTATTACACACTATACCGGCTACCTATAGGTATGATTTCACAACAAAAACATTAGACTTTTATGAAATAAATAATAACTCCCGCCACCCGCCCCCGTCAAAATGATAAATAAACAACAATTAATAATAAAATGAAAAATTCGAGACATTCGGTTGAAAGGAACGACGCCTTCTCCGTTATTTTTGAGATTATATAGTTTCCGCTTCGAAAAACATATTTCTGTGTGTGTGTGTGTGTGTGTGTGTGTGTGTATAAATAATATTTTCTCCTCCCGAGGACCGCCTTCTTTTCGACGCTGTTCGGCGGCCGTCTAATCCGCGATTTTATGACGGAATGCTATATCGTCGGGACCGCGGGACAAATAATATCCGTCCGTATCAATCATCATTATCCGCCGGCGCGGCCCCTCGCCGCCGCCGTCTCTTTATGCGCGCGGCCCGGCCGCCGCCGTATCATTTATAATGTTCGCCAGACTTTAATAACGTTAAGATCGCCGGCCCGTTACGGCTCTCTAATGGATAAGCGCGCGGCGGCGGGCAAAAGCGGCCGGAACGAACCGCGTGCGCACGTACGCTCGTAGGTGTGCGCGCGGCCATGGCAAGGAGGGGGGGGGGCGGGGGGAAGGAGCGCGGCGGGTACCTACACTGCCCCTCCCGCGGGCTAAATTTTTCCTCCGAAAACCGTGGGATTTCGATTGCTATGGCGAATTTGTAATTAAATTATAACGGCGCGCAACATTAAAATGCACAAAAACTTCCGCGCAACACGGTCGCCGGAGGGACCCGGAAATAATGGCCGCTATTCAGAACCGGCCGTCCTTCAGAGGGTCCCTGTAGGGGCAGGCATAACACACGGCGGGGCCGGAAAGCAAGAAAAAAAGAAGAAAAAAAAACGACCGTTACACGCAAAGGCGATCGCGTCTGTTCGTGGTGACCGTGGTGACGGGAGTTTTCACTGTGCACCGCGTCCGTCGCCAACGTGAACGACTACAATGACAACCGAACTAATAACGTTCGATCGTATATTTTATATCGATGCGTATGCGTATACATTACATATCGTGCTCCCCCCCCCCGCACACTGCCGGCGAGGTCCGCGCGCGCACTGCGTACGCGCTTGCGCACGAACCGAACCCGGCGATAATGAGGTAATTATTGCCCATCACCGATATCGACAATTACGCGTATACAGTAAACACACGCACTAACGCGATAATTGAACTGATCCAATCTACAATACGGCGGCGCGCCGGCAATAGGTACGTGAATGCCGTTCCGGTAACGTCGACAATCGTTGACAAAGCTTACAAAGCGATAATATCACTTTATCGCCGTCGAAAATCAGAAAATTACATTGAAATATCTACAAGATATGTAAGACGAATCCGAGTTCATTTCGGATTACCGTGATCTAAATCCGGTACACGCGTTTTATCAGATTTCAGACATCTCGCTCCGATAGAAACTGCGTGTTCACAATAAAATCCGTCGCCTGATAAGAAAATTATTGCGGGCGCACGATCCCCGCCCGTCGGATCGACGAGACAATGTCAGCCGAATATTACCCGTGCACGTTTTAACGGCGAGACGAGAAACAGACGATCAAATAAAAAAATGCCGAACAAACTGCAGCCGACGGCGCAAACGCTTTTTATCGTACGCCAGCGCAACAATGGCCGGGGATAAACGGTTCCGTTTTGTGT